CATCGCCCCTCCCTCCTGCCTCACCCTCCCGCGTGGTCCCTCTATATCGCCAGCTCAGGCCGCCCTGAGCTTCTTGGCTGGCCGCGGCTGCAGCCGCGGCCACGGCTTCACCACCAGGAAGTCGCCCGCGGACAGGGCGCAAGTGTTATGCATCTGGGGCGCCCCCACCTGCACCTTGTTGACGCCTGTCCCGAACGTCACGGTCTCCTTTCGGAGCTCCATGCTGGGCTCTGAGTCGGACTTTGCCACCACCCAGAAGGGGATGACAAAGGCGTCGGGGCCCCGCGACCCCTCAGCGGGGGGCCCTGCGAAATGCGGGCCCACGAAGAACTCGTAGAGGCCAACCTTCCCCAACGAGATGCTCTCCGCAGCGCAGCCCGTGCTGACCCGCGTGGACGAGGCCGAAATGCGACCACTCCCACCGCGTGGAGCTACATGGCGCGCAGTCGGTAACATCACTGACCTCGTCGCCACGGCCTGACGTGCCCCGAAATCCTCGCTGCCCCGTGCTCAGCGCAGCGCTGCAGCGCGGCGTCGTCGGAGGGGGGCGCGGACGATTGCGGAAGCACAAGTCTGACGAGCTCACCCACTTTGAACGCTCGCTTGCAGCGCACGGCAGGTGGGTCCTGCAGGATCTCCAAGTGCAAAATGTTCGCCTGGTACTTCAGCGCTTGGAGCCACAGCGCCATGTCGCATGCCCCCTTGAACGCGCCCATCGCCCAGCCCTCGTGGGCTGGCGGCAAGTGCTCCTTCGTGAACGACAACTGCTCTTGCACCCTGGACGTCAACTTGTAATTCTCGAGCAATATGTTTACTTCAATCCGCCCGCTCGGCTAACTGCTCCGTGCGCTGCAGCGCATCGACCAACCCATTGCAACTTAAGTACAGGAAATACAATATCGCAGTTGCTACCTCCTCCTCCCCCCTCCCTGCTCCCCACGGGCGGCGGGGTGGCTGCAGCCACGCAATGGAGATCTCTTCGCCCACCAGGTCGCCGTGCAACTTCTTCTGAGCGGTGATCCCATTCTCCGAGATGGAGAGCACCTCGAAGACGTCATCCACCTACTTCTTCTGGACGATGTGCTTCCCCACGTCGAACCCTGCACGCCGCGTGCGGAAGACGTTGCTCTTCAACTCAGCGGCCGACGACGCTGCCGAGCGCGGCGCGTCTGCGTCGGCGCTTGCTGGCAACTCGGGTGCGCCATCGCCTTGCTTGTCGGTCTGCACCGCCTTGCCGAACTCGATCCCCAAGCTCTTCATCTGCAGCTGGGCTGGCTCCCCGAGCTCATGGAGGAAGACCTCTCTGGAGGGTCGCTGCAGCGACATTGAATGGCGAAAAGCAGGGAGGGATGGAAACAAGGAGCACACGAAAGGTGGCATGAGAAGATACCTGTGCTATATCTGCTACGCATCCGAAAGTGCGGTCTCCTGGCGCTCGCTTCTTCACCAGGTACATGGCACAGCGGACATCCAACTTTGTGATGTGCAAGAAGCCCTGCTCCGCTCCGATATCCAACCTCTTCGCGAGCGACCTTGCGTCGGCCATGAGGTTGTCGGCCGCAGCCACGTCCGCCTTGCGGGACGCGACGTGGACGATCTCGTTTGCCTTGATCCGCCCATCGCTTCAGCGATTGCGTTTGGGAATAAAGCAATGTAACGGTGCGTGTGTGTGTGTGTGTGGGGGGAGGGGGGAGGGGTGGGTACGCAGTTCTAACAATGCAGCGCAATGCATAGATGCGCTGCAGCGCATGTCACTACAAGGGGGCGCCGACAAGCTTATGGATGGTCCTGCACATGCTATCCACCACGTGCTCGCCTGAATAGTTGGCCTTCACGAGCGCCGCTACGACATGCGGGTACGACTCCTGGTGCTTCCCCCATTTAATCGAATTCAACTTGCGCCAGAATTCAGAGCCGCACATCAAAGTTTGCCCCGAGACGTCCACATTCGTGAAGGTCTTGAGGGCTTCATCTATTTCACGGAGAAGTTCTCCGTTTTGTGGCCCGAGCTCAACAAACTTGCACAAGTCAGCGATCCACGCCTTGCAAGGTGGGTTCGCGTGGCCCGCTTGCTCGGCGATGTCGCGCCAATCGGGCTTGCTGGAACCCTGAGCGAGGCTGTGTGCCAAGAGCATCCGCCCACCTGCCTGCAGCAAGCGCCGAGCCGATCAAGTGCTGCAGCACGGTAAGATATAATGCTCCTGCTCCTCGTTCTCACCTCCTCCCCAACGCACTCCCACTCATCGCCCTCCTCGTGCATCATCCTGGTCCTTACTACATACCGCTATATACTAGAGTGGGGATAGGCTGCAGCCTGACCGAATGATCTCGGTCTCGTGAACCGCCTCCCTGACGTCGGCGTTCAAAGCCCTCTGCGCGAAGTTCTTGAGGCCCTTCACTTTGGCCACCGCGTGCTTGATGATCAACCACGTCAGGCCCTTTTTGACTGCCGTCGCAAGTTGCGGATGCAACGCGCACAGCTTTTCGGAGTCGATGTTGTCCCGAGAGTCTGCCCGCGCCTTCACTGTGGTCGGCGCCTTGGCCAGCACGCAGCGGAGGAAGACGTTCGTGTGGGAGCCGCCCACTGACGTATACCGCAATGAGTCCAGCGGGGGGCACCGACCCCCGCTGAGCCGCGAAAGGCGGTCGTTCGCCATCGCGGTCTCTTCCAACTGCGCCCCATGCGGGGCCTCGAAGGCAGTGGCTGCAGCCGTCTGGGCCAAGACGAAGCCCTGGGCGCAAATCTTCGCGCCTAAATTGTGAGCCCGCGCAGGGTTCACTTACGAACCGCTGCGGTTCCGAATGTCGATGCCCATCTGGTCCGGTGGGACCTGCTGGTAATACGCTAGCCCCTCCGCCAGCAGGAACTCCTTCAGTTGATCCCACCCCGATGCCAACCTCCCCGAGGCATTGCTTTCCTCGATGTACTGCAAGATCTGCTCCTCCTGACGCGCCTGCAGCGCCATGCCAGCGCTATATATAGCGCCAAATGCAACGTGCGAGCCCGCGGGCGCGACGGCGGATGCGGCGCGCGGCCGCAGCTTGAGACAAGCTGTCGCGCGGCGTGCGCGTGAACATCGACTTGCATGGACATGCAACTTGCGAGCAAAAATGTTGATCTGGGCTGCAGCCCGAGGCCCATGAAGCACGAGCGCGCACGCGCTGCAGCGCGATGCGACATCACGACGACAACCATTTTTTTGCGCTGCAGCGCAAAGTAACATACGTGCTATCAAATTTGGAGCGCTGCAGCGCTCAATGCGACCATTGAAAAACAACGAATACAACAAAACATAATTGACATGTGCATTCAAATTCCTTGCAAACGGAGCTGGGCGAAAATGAAGATCCGAACAACGTGCAACTAGAAAACCATGCATTTAACTCAACATTCAGCGCTGCAGCGCTTCATCTTCAGCGCACGCAGCGCTTCATGTTCATATAAATCCGAAGGCAGCGCTGCAGCGCTTCTCATATTTAAAGCAAAAATCCAGGACACCGACTCCAAATCAAAATGCAAAATTTGTAGCGCTGCAGCGCTCAACGAACAAACTCAGCTCTTTCAAGACGTGGATTTACCTTTTTTCCCTGTGCATGGCCCTTGGATAACAAGTGCAATGTAACCGCTAAGTCACTTATAACCTACTTAGCAAACTAGCTATAAGCGGTTATAAGTGGTTAGCTAAGTGCGCTAAGCACTTAGCTAACTGGTTATAAGTGGATAGCTAAGTACTTACTAAGTCATTACTAAGTGGGCCACTTAGTAATGACTGAGTAAGTACTTAGCTAAGTCCGCTAACTACTTACTAAGTACTTAACTTAGCGTAGTAAGTATGTTAAGTACTTAGCAACCGCCGCGGCCATCCAATTGCCCGGGTGCCCGGGGTGCCCAGAAGTGCCCGGGGGTGCCTAGCCCAATAGCCCTATATCCCTATAGCCCAATAGCCCAATCGCCCTATATCCCTATAGCACTATAACCCTATAGCCCTATAGCCCTATAGCCCTATAGCCCGATAGCCCAATAGCCCCATAGCCCTATAGCCCTATAGCCCTATAGCCCTATAGCCCTATGGTCTTAAAGCCCTATAGCCGTATATAGCCCTATAGCCCTATAGCCCGAATAGCCTTATAGCCCTTAGCCCTATAGCCCTATAGCCCTATAACCCTACAGCCCTAAAGGCTTCTAGCCCTATATCCCTATGGCGACATCGCCCTATAACCCTATAGCCCCATAGCCCTAAAGCCCTAAAGCCCCATAGCCCCCCCCCCAAAAAATTCTGATTGGGTTTTTCTCTGGTATCATGTGTTTGACTATGTTTGCATACTCCTCCTGTAGAGGGACATTGGCGGCGCGCAGAAGGGGGCGTAGGGAGGGGGGAGGGTTTCTTGGAACGAGGCTGCTTCTAGAAGGGGTCCCCCCTCCACAATTACTCAATATGAATACTACTCTCCCTCTTCCCCTGATGACGTTTTGAAAGTGCTCGACCCCCCCCGCGTACTGTTTTTTTAACACACAGGTTTCCCTCGAGTTGGGTTTTCGCCTGCATCCTTTTCCATGGTAAGGGATGGGAGGGCGGGGTAGGTAGGATGTCAGATATGACGCGAGCGCACCTAGCTTGCCCCACCCCCCCTCTGCGCGTGGCCCAACACTCAGGGGGGCGTAAGACCCGGGTACAGGGGACTCGGAAATCCCCGACGAGGTCGTCAAAAAAATGACGAGGCCGAGCCTACATTTTGACGAGGCCTCCCGCTGCAGACATCCCACGAAACTCCTCCTCGTCAAAATCCGTGGCGCAGTCGTCAAAAAACGATGGCGAACCCGAGTCCCGGCAAACCCGGGTCTTACGCTCCCCCGACTCTGCGCGTGGCCCAACACAGGCCCGACTGAATGATCGCGAGCCGGACCGAGCGCACCGCGGGGGGCCCGCGACCGCGCCCCGCGCCCCGCGCGCCGCACGTGGACCGCCGCCCTCGCTGCCGGAGAGGCGGCCGCGCGGCTCCTCGCGCAGGGCCATGTAGAGCCGGACGTCCGCGATGCCGTAGCGCTTCGCCTCCGCCCACTCCTCCGGTCGCGCGGCGGGGGGCGCGGGCGCCTCGTCCTCCTCCTCCTCCTCCTCCTCCTCCTCCGCCGACTCCTTCTTGTCCGAGTCCTTCTCCACCTCCTCCGCATCTGCTTTCCTCGCGCTGTCCTCCTCCTCCTCCTCCTCCTCCTCCTCCTCCTCCTCCTGCCTCCTGCCTCCTCCTCCTCCTCCTCCTCCTCCTGCTCCTCCTCCTCTTCCTCCTCCCCCGTTTCCGCCGCCTCCTCCTCCTCCTCCTCCTCCTTCTTCTTGTTCTCCTTGTCCCCCGCGTCCTCCTCCGTTCCTTCTCCTCATGAAAATACTCCCCCCTGTCGCACACCGAAGCCGGTCGAAAGGGCGGGCCGGGCGTTTCGCCTGAGACTTCCTTGCTACTTGTGATCCTGAAGCTTGACATGTGCGACAGCTTCACGGATGGAGGGCGTCGGGTGGTTTTCAAAATGCAGCTCTCGCCTGAGCGCCGTCGCCTTAAAAGCTTGCAGCACTTTCACGGATGGAGAGCGGGTGGGATTCAACATGTGGCTCTCCCATCAGCGCCCTGCACTTTCGTCTTAAAACATGGCCACCGTTTCGCAGATGGATGGCAATTCCTTTTCAAAATGTGGTCTCGCCGTAACGCCTCACACGCGACTTAAACAATTGCAGCAAATTCGCTGCTGGAGGACGGCTCAAGCTCCATTTCAACATGTGGCTCTCGCCTCAGCGACGCGCGCATTTCTTTTAACAGTTTGCTGCAGTTCCAGGTGCCTCATGTTGAGCATGCCCCCAATCGTGTTTTTGCACGATGCTGGCCTGTCTGTGCGCAACAAGTACGTTGATTCGTGATGCAGGACGGTCAAGGCGCAGCTGTAATTGTGATTCGCGGCGTTGAAATCCGGAATACGGCGTCATGACACAGTTCAGGGTTTTTAAACAAGCGAGGCGGGCAGCGAGAGCAGCGGTGCCCATTTGGCATGCAGCGCTCGGCGCCTACCATCAGGGACCCTTCGTTGGTCTCATCGAGGCCCTCCCAACAACGGATGTTGCTCCAAAGACTCAGTGCCGTGGCAACAACGCTTGAGCCAGGATCGGCAAGTCATGAGGATGATATTTGAGAGTGACAGGGTGAGGATTGCGGCAGCAGGAGGTCAAGGAACTAGCATGGCATGCCCAACGAACTCATCGACGGCGCCCCTGCAGTCCGTCTCAGAAGCCGACTGCTCGTCAGACTGCTGCCTCAGGAAGGCATCGGGGCAGAGGCAGAATGACCACATGAGGAATAAAAAAGAAGAATGGAGAATGACCATGAAGATCAATCACGAGAGAACAAGAACAAGAAGAGTCAGACGGCGCGGACCGTGGGTGGGCGAGGGGCGCAAATTGGTCGCGGGTGGGTCGCGTGGCGGGTCGCGTGATGGGTCGCGGGTGGGTCGCGTGGCGGGTCGCGGGTGGGTCGCGGTGGGACTACGAGCACCACTAACCACCGAGAAATCCCACCTTGGCCACGCGCCTGGGGACCGTGTGAGACAGCTCTGCTCCATCACTCTGATTCGCCAGAATACAAAGAGGTCGTGCCACGCACCAACGAGTTCGGCGGAGGCATTCAGCCCGTCCCTTCTCTTGCCGAAGGTCCCAATCCGCCCAGATGTCGAAACACGAACCGGGCCATCTCCCGTTCAACTACCACTTACGTGGGGCTTTTGTCGGGTCTGTACGAGGAAGGGCCCCCCCCTCCCCCGAGCCTCACGCTTGGTCAAGTATACATGTACGTATGTACATATGTTGATACGAAGGCACGATATGTTGTCAAACTAGCTCACCGGTAGAAACAACAGAAACAAATATGGCAACAATGAAATGTATTATGACTGCATTTTGCCATGGTGCCAGGAGGTCCCCCGATGTGCGACCTATGGATACAATATCCGGTGGACGAACAGTCAACCATCGCGTGACATAAAATGGCAGCGGAAGCAAAAGAGAGGATAGGAGCATATCATCACTGTGCGATAGGGCGCAAAAGGTACAGAATCGGGATGGAGGAAGCACGACACCCTCCGCGCGAAAAAGGTCCGACCGCTTCGCGATAAGACCAATCCTGCGCAACGCTCTGCCTGATAACCTTCGCCTTATCACGCTCAACTCTCCGCCGTAGCTGCTCATACTCGCACAACAACATTCGCCTGCCACAACCATCTCAAACGAAAACCACGTGCTGGCCGAAGCCCTGAGTACGGGACGCAGTCGCACTCTTTCACAAACGACAGTTCTTATAGTTCTCTCGTAAATCGAGCCATTCCTCCCAGCTGTGCGTCCACATTGACTGCTCCAACTCAGACTAACCATCGTTGTCAACGCATTTTTCGCGAAATCGTTATTTCAGGGTTGCTGCATGTACAGGACAGGCCGCGAGCATGGAACAGACCTCACATCTGCACTCTAGCAATGAAGCTTACCCAACAGCTATCGGGCCATATATGGCACTCGGTCAACCATCTTCTGGGCATGGCAGCATCCATACCCTAAGCAGTGCTTGCACTTATGGTTTCTTTCTTCTGATCTAAAAAAACTGGGCCTGGGTGGCGCTCTGGCGGCTCCGTCCAAGCCGTCGCCGCCCAGTCGCCGCCTCGTCGCCGCCCGTCGTCTGGGCCTGCGTTGCGGTCTGGCGGCTCCGTCCAAGCCGTCGCCGCCGCGTCACCGCCCGTCGTCTGGGCCTGGTTGGCGGTCTGGCGGCTCCGTGCTCGCCGTCGCCGCCTCGTCGCCGCCTACAATGTCATACGATTCTGTCCCATCGTCCATCCTCAATATGAATCCGTATCATCCCAAGCAGGCCGGTATCGACCAACCCCCGTCATCCTCTGCAAGAAACAACTATCACTCGTTTATCAGCAATCATGAATTATCCAGAATCCATTTCGTAGGTTTTTTATAAAAAGGAGAAACGGAACAATGTGCACACGCGCGCGTCGTCGTGCGCGCATGCCGAATTCCTTCACACACCTTCGCTTTAAGATTTCGAAATCGAATGCCCAAAACACATTAAAAAATGGTTTCGCAACAGGTATGTTCAACAAAAAATTGTTTGCGCGCGCTCTTGCGAGCACCGCGGGTTGTTCAACGCTTTCAAAACAAATGCCACCACACAGGCTTCGCGCGCGCACGTCGACATTGTTCGAACGCCCCTGCGCGCGTGCCGTCGTGAGAATCCTGTTTTGCAAAACAAAGCGACGGAATGCACACGCGCGCGCCGTCGCTCGCGCATGCCGAAATCCTTCAAAAACCTTCCGTTCCGAAGCGATGTCAAGACCGAGTGTCCAAAACAGCATACAAAAACACATGGTTTCGCAACATCAGTTTTCAAAGAAAGCGTGCGCTCGCGCTCTTGCGCATTCTTAAGAAAACCTTGGGGTCTTTCAGCATGTTCATGAGAGTTTGCCAGACTCTGGTTCCGCATGCCGGCATCATTCGCACGCCCTTGCGCGCGTGCTGGGGGGGGGGGGGGGGGGGGGCACGATCCGTGTCAAATGAAACCATGCGGACCACTCTCGCGCGTCGGCCTCGCGCGCATGTCGAAACCTCTTTATCACCGACGCGAGGACGCCGTCATCGTCGTCGGCTTGATCAGCATCGGCGCCCGCACTGGCCGCGCCTTCGTCGGTGCGAACATCGCCACCAGCATCGCTACCATCATCATTGTGTCTACTGGTGTCGGCGTTGCTATGATACCGCGCCGACCCAAGTCACCGACTCGCCGTGAAGTGCCCGCGGGGATGCGCCTAGCGGTCAGCGCCACCGCGGCCGCGCCGGCGGCGCTAAATTAGCTGGCCGTTGCGCGCGCTAGGGTCGGCGCGGCCGCAGAGATGCACCAATTAACGCCAAGCATGCGTCGCAATCGCCACCGCATGGGTTTTGCAAACCAAGCTGCGGGTGGGTGGGTGAGGTGTTTGCAAGAGCGTGGGATGTGTCAATTCGTTTGTTCAGATTAATTGCACCACATAGAAGGTGCCACATATATTGCACCACATAGGCAGCGCCACACAAATTGCACCACGTCGATTGTACCACAGAGACCCACCGAGTGCACCACCATCACCACAACAAAGGGCGCACCGCAGAAACTGGTACACGAATATGGTACAATGCATAGATTGCACCGCATATGATGCACCAGATAGATCGCACAGCAGATGGTATACTAGTGCTGTTCGAAACTCATTGCTTGGGGTCCACACTGGCTAACATGTTCCATGGGGTATGGCTTGTGCAGCAACGGACAATCGCGTCGAGCATGGTAAGGAGGTGAAGCCCGGCCCTATGATATTCACACTGGGCCTGCTCGAGGTCCAAGGAGCTCGGAATCACTCGATACCCCGGGCCAATGTTCAATTGCTCAACATGCCTGTTATTCAATCGCTTCGCTCATTCCGCCAGCCCATGTTGCATGATCGCTACTGCTTCGCCGTGGGCCTGGGGCCATTGTGGCGCCGCCGAGGAGGAGGAGGATGAGGAGGAGGAGGAGGAGGAAGACGCGGATGGGGAAGGGGAGGGGAGGAGGAGGAGAGGATGAGAAGGAGAGGAGGAGGATGAAGATAAGTAGTAGTAGGAGGAGGAGGAGGAGGAGGAGGAGGAGGAAGGAGAAGGGGCGGAGGAGGAAGCCTCTCGTTTGCATCTTGTGTTGCTCTTGGGACCAAACAGGGTCGTCGTCGAGATGCTTCTTTGGGAGGCCTCTTGGGGTCTTTTGAGAAGCCGTTCGGGGGCGCCTGGGAAGCATTTTTGAACTTCTGGGGCCTCTTGGGGCCTCTTTTGGGCCTCCTGGGGGCCTCCTGGGGCCTCTTGGGGGCCTCTTGGCGGCATCTTGGGGCCTCTTGGGTGCCTCTCAGGGGCCTCTCGGGCCCTCCTGGGGCCCTCTTGGGGCGGGAAGGCTCGAGTTTTCGGTTCGTGGTCCC